GCCTTCTAAACACTGGTGAAATATCATTATAATGAGAACAAATTTCACATTGCCTTAATTCTGAAGAACTTCCCTATGCAAAGCATTACTCACTTTTTTCCAGGAAGATTGTATCATTTTAAAGAAAAATTCTCTTCCTAAACTGCTAGGATAATACAGAATAGCCATTATGATATTATGATTGCTGATACTGATTTATTTTTCTGTTTTGTAACTTTTCAATGACACCTGGTGAACTTGTAGCCTCTGACTACCCAGGGAGTGCTTTTAGGCAGGGTGTCCCTGACCTCCTGCTGGTAGATTAATTGCATATTAAATATTGTGTTTTTCAAAACAAAATGATAAATCTGGACACATAAAGGAGGTAGAAAAAGAATCAGAAACGGGGGAGAAGAGGAATGTTAGAAAGAAAACAAGAGATTGCAAAAGGAAAATATCAGATAGAAAGAAAGGGGAATGTAAGAAATGCAATTGGGAAAGAACTTCAAGAAAATAAGGATAAAGGGCAGGGAGGGCTGAAAGGAGGACAAGAGGGAGGGTGGGAACAAAAGAGGAAGGGAGATTTTTAGTTTTTAATCCCCTGGCGAGGCTCCTGGCGTAGGCGCCCTTAACGCCCTCGACTTCCAAGCTGAGGCGAAAGCCACCTCCTTGGGCCTGCGTCGCATCCAACTTACTCCAAGTTTTCTGGTGGCTCCTACAGGACCCCCTTTTCGCTACCCCCCCACCCCCCAGTGAGATTGACAGTCGCGTGGAGGAGGCTTTTCCAGGCACGGTCTTTCTCATGGTAATCAGCCCCCAGCATCACCTCCCGGCCGCGACCGCTCAGAGTCCCAGTGCCGCGCGCGGACCCCAGGGACCGGAAACTGGGCGGCGGGAGGGAGCCGACCAGCGAGCCAGGTCAGCTGACCAGGCGTCTGGGCGGGGGTCCCGGGGTTCCCGGGCGGGGACAGGTCTGGGAGAGGACGTTTGGGAAGGGGCCGACACCCCCCACACACGTGCTCCTCTGCCTGCGCAGCGGGTCCTTTCCCTGAGATCAAATCGAGGGACTGAAACTGGGGACGGGGCGGGGGGGGGAGGGGGCGGAGGAGGAGGGCGGAGCGCTCTGAGAATTGAGGGCAACTAGCAGACCTGTTTTGCATCAATAAATTAAGACGCTCATTTGAGTCCTGAAGTTTGCTGGTTGCTGTCAGTGGAGATGTTGGCAAAAGCCCTGAAGCCGAGATATAGCCTTAACTTCAAAAAATAAAATAAAATAAAATAAAATAAACCTCTCAGCGGGCTGCCCTGCTGGGGCCAGGTGGCATGCAAGATTCTACAGCCTGCGGGCCTCGCAGCAGGGATGTTAGGGACCGTCTGAGGTTCTCTAGTCCTGTTAAGATTTTGTTTGAAAGTGTTTCTTCAAGAGATCGTCTTGTTTTCATATTTATTTTTTAATAGACTTTACCCTCCTATTCTATACTCAACTCCGAATGGATTGGATTGCGAGTTTGCACGTGAGAAAACCATTTGGCTTGCCTTGAACCACTGCCGCCACCACCACCACCACCATCACCACACACACACAATCCAGGGGTCCCTTATCACTATCACCCTTTGCTTGCAACTCCAAAAGAAGTTGCCCATCTTCTGCCTACCGATACAGGGGCAAAATAATTCCTCTAGATCAAAGATCAATTCCGTTTCAAAACTAGGATAGGTTCCTTTTTTTTTTTTTTTTTTAATTTTATCTACACAGTACAAAATAAACAGTTTGGAAAAGAAAAACCATTAGCTGTGGCCGAGTTGGAATTCCTTCTAAAGCCTTGCGTGTTCAAGGGCACAAACATTGTATCTCTTCGGGCAACTGGGCCCGCGAGCTGAGCTGGGCGGGGGTGAGGGTAGCAGGAGAGGAGGCAGCGGCTGTGAAAGTTGAGGAAATTGACAGACTGAGAGGTGAATGGGGGGACAGGCACCAGGTCCTGACTGGAGGGAATAGGAAAACAAAAGTGCATCCTTCTCAGCGAGCCTGGGTGGAGGGAATCCTGAGAGAGGCAGCTTGTTTTACCCAAGGAAACACTAAAGATTTTTTTGTCCTTCAAGGTCGATTGCAATACTATTTCAAATTTGCATGTATCTGTGATTTTAATCCCTTTCGTCTGCGCTAATCTCGAAGTGGTTTATTAATGGGGAAGACAGACGGGGAAAGAGCGATTCATTTGCAAGACTTGCTTTGCTGTGTGAGGAGTCGAAAGCCAGCAGCCCCCAGTCCTCTCTCGACTTTTCCCTGCATCCTGTGCTCCCGAATCCCGTTGATCCCACGATCCCCATTGTCCCGGACCTGGCCCTCAGACTGAGAGGGTGTTCCAAACAATTTATACTCCACTTCCCCAGATCCCACCGCCTCTAGGGTGGTGGAAACTCTCTCGGCCAAATGTCTGGGGAGGGGCTTGCCAAGCAAGGACTAGGGGCAACCTAGGACGCTCACACCTCGAGGGGACCCTCCATGTGCTACCCTCCAAACATTCACCTTGATGGGAATCTGAAAGTATTCTTTTTACCCCAAGTCAAACACTTGCTCGCCGGAATTCCAAGTGCGAAGTGTTGAGGGTTGCCTCCTGCCACTTGAACAATTACTGAACCCAGGGTAAGCAGATGATTAGTGTTTTTAATGGAAATACTTAAGGGTCTTTTTTTTTTTTTTTTTTAAGTCAAAGCCTAAGTAAGGTGACATTTAATATACATAATAAACACAAGTGTTTCGCTAGCTTTTCGATTGGTTCCTTTAACCTGAGGTTTTGCGTGTCTATAGTGTGCGTCTGGCTGTAAGCCTCCAGTGGCCACCTGGACTTCTGAAGAGGGATCTCGCCTGGAATCACTCCATTCAATGGGGCTTCTCTTCTTCAGAAATGGGAGAATGAAGACTGGATGGAAAACTTCTAGAGAAAACTGGAGTTAATATTTTTTTAATGAAAAAAGGGAAAGGAGAATGAGAAAAAAAAAGGATACCAACAGTAGTGATAAATCTCAGAGGAGGAATGTGATAGGAAATACATATATGTACTATAGGTATAGTATATTAGAAGAAGTGTAAAATGGGAAATTGAGAATGTATCTGACCCATTTTGGAAATGTCTCATTTTTATTATTAATTTCCAGGCTAAGACTTTGTATGCTGCTCTTCTATAGGTGCTTTATCTGGGATGGGGTGGGTGGAATGGGGAAAAAGATAAAGTTTTCAGATGTTCTCATTGTAATAAATACTCAAGTTAGGACAGAGATGAGTCTGTGACCAACAGTGAAAATCACTTTTAGGCATCCTTGAGTAAAATCTGACTGTGGTCATGCAGGGTGGCTAGTTCCCTCCCCACTGAGCCTTCCCCCTTGAAACATGTAAACATACAATATACAAAGACATGTACCTCTAGGAGTGTGGATGTGGCAGCCCGGGTGGTGGCTTTTCCCTCCTTTAAGTGCAATTGCCAGTGACTCTTGCATTCAAAGTCTTGCTTTAGACTCACATTCAAAGCCCAGTTTATCTTAAAGTAAGTAAACATCTAATGTTGGATCAGGGTATTATTTGTTTCAGATTTCATTAGACTGAAAACAGGACGCTGTAACATATTTAATAATGTTAAAGCAGAAAAACTGGTGTGAGGCAAGCTCTCTGGTCCTCTTCACACCTCTACCTCCACCTTGCCATGAGCCCAAAGGCTGTAGGGCTGAAGTCTATATGTGCTCTGAGATTCTCTGGCAGTTTCATTCTGAAAAAAAAAAAAAAAAATTAAAAAAAAAAAAAAAAAGCCTGTCAGTTCTTTAAGAAATTGAGCCTGAACCATCAGAGGCTAAGAGATTTCTTCCTTTTCCGATAAATGCCTGTGCTCAGCATCCTCAAATTTGGCTGTCTTTATTTACTTCTATATTAGTTCCAATTATGTGCAGTGTAAACCAGCTTTTTGATTAACAAAACAGCAGAGCATTGGTTAAGAACACTTAAACTTCAAAAAAATTCCCCTGGGAAGTGGGCTCTGAATTGGTTAATAATGTGCAGTACTTGCTAAATTGCTGACTTCCAGATGTGGAAAATATCTTTCTTGTTTAGGACCTATGTAACCTGATTGGATTACGACAGAAGCGTCACGTTGGAAGCTTTTGAGTGATTATTTAATTAACCATACAGTAGAAAGCTGTATTCTCCAGGAAATCCCTTCCATATTTGCATAACCAATCCCTTCAGAGCAAAGGTGGAGTCTTTTCTTTTTAATTTTACTTTAATTGCAGTATCAAAAAATATATACTCCAAAACTTAGACCCCATGCCGTTTTATATCATGCTCTTTCTTCCCTGCTAAGTTTTTCTATGGCCTTTCTCTCTTTCTTCCTGTCTCCCTACACACACTCCCTCACTTTGTAGTACTGTCTGGGAGAGATATAGAGAAATTCAGAGATCAGTCGATCCAGCGTTCTATGTTAATTTACTTAGAGACCCTTAAAAAAAAAAAAAAAAAAAAAAAA